AAAAGAAGCCAGGAAAGGGCCCTTCCCCCACCCTTTTACTGACAGAGCCAGTTAGAAGCCTCCCCCCCCCGCCCTGAACGTTCTAATCTCTCTCACCGTTGATGCCTGGAGTTAGATCCCTGCAGAGGCCATTTCAAAAGGTATTAGGGGGGATTCAACCCTCCCTTAAGGGATTTTTTTACTTCTTGGATTTTTCTGCAGACACAGGAAGTCTACTGACTATGTTGGAAAAGCTGTTGGGGGAGAGTGAGCTTCCTGTTAGTGGAAATAAGTATCCGCACAAGGTGCCCTCTGTTGGAATTAGATATATAGATATGTCTATTTCTCAAGTGCAGTCCCATCTGAGGATACCCCGAACAGATTTTTATGCAAACTTGGGGGACCCCTAAGTTTGCAGAAAAATGTGAAATGCTAAAGAATACATGGGGGGGTGTCAATACATGGGGGGTTAAATTCCCCCCTTACCTTTGGGAGCCCGAGAGTGACACAACAGCATCTGTGGCAGAGTTCAGTGGTTACTGTGCTGGTGGAGCCCAGCCTCTCTGGGCCCAGTAGTAGCAATGGTAAACACTGGCAGCTGCTCCGGGCCCAAAGTGGCTCCCAGACATCACCGTTGCTGCAGCCAGGCTCCAAGGTAAATGGTGGGGCTTGGAGTTGTGATAGGGCGGGGAGATGGGATCCTCCTCATAAGTCTCATGGTCTTCCCTCTTGTATATTATAGTATCCTAGCACTCATGAAGCAAAGGCTCCCAACCCTGACTGCCTCCATATCCAGGGCTTGCGTGATTTGTAATTCTTCCCTTTGACACTAAAAGTTTGGATGAAACTATCTAATCCTAGCTAATCCCCCAAGGATTCTCTTAGCTGCAAAGTCTCAAGCAGTTTAAAGCATCCTGGAGTATGGGGGGGGGGAAGAGACATTGATGCATGCTGATCTCCAGTTGCCAACTCCAAAATACCCTTCTTGCATCCTGTACTGCTCAAGTCCAGATCTATGTGAACAGCTTCAGCAGTTGGGCTACAGGGCAAGGGCCTTCCAGCACACAACTTTCAAGACTTGTACATGGTTGAGCAGGAGCCAATTCATTTAATCACAGTACTCAACAATCTCTTACAATCATCTCAGTGAAAGTGTATGAGG